AAAACTAGAAATCAGCGCAAAAACATAACGATGACTACATTGCATGCAAGACATGATCTACATAAACTTAATCAGCTCCATTAGGTAAGCCGAACCTTCTAGTTTGATTAGCAAAACTTCAGTCATATCAGTTTCTACATTTAAACTCAAATTTAACGCCATAAAAAGATCAAACCATTTCCCAAAAACCCCTTAACACTCAGGAAGCAAAACAAAGCACTAAAAGTATTCGAAGCGAAAAAACTCAAAACACAAAACACGCATGCTAATGCATCTTTAGTGAATCTTACACACCGATTGCGCTGCAATATTCCAGTTATCGAATGGCCTCTTACGTCTTTTCGCCATTCACTGCAAAAAATTGGAAAACTGTTCCGATCCACGAACGAATTTAGTGCCTTGCAAAGGCGATTTTGAATTTTTTACAGAAAATTAACAACATTAATCCAACTCATCAAAAACATTTCTGCTCATAAAATCATCCTCCACACAAACTCCACACGCCCAGAAAACAAAACAAAGCATCCTGAATGTCATTCATAAGACTTATTACAGTACAAAAGGTTTCAAAACAAAAGATCCGCAGACCTCATCCAAACTAACAGTAACAAAAATTTAGACGAGTCAGAGTACAGCAACAATCAAACCTCATGAGGAAATCAAAAACTCAAAGAAAAAAACATACTTTTTATCCTTTTTTTCGTTTCCTTCGTGCATAAGCCTTTCAGCTTCACCAGTTTCAGCACCAAGTGGAATAGTTTGGCTATCGTTCGTGTTCACAGGCAACGATCTCGCCTGTTCTAAATCATTTATCACGTAGGATTTTTCTCAGATTCTAAAACAACAAGGAACTACCTTGAGAAAAGAGAAAAAAACGAACCATCTCTGTATCCTACGTCTCCACGTCCATTTTTCTGCATTACTTCCTGCACCTCTTCCATTCTTAACTTCCCACTTTCTGTAGGTGTTTGAGAAATCATCTGAGGCGGAGTGTAGAGAGCCTTTCGTGTCTAAAATCAACTCGGTAAAGTGCGTCCCCAATCAAATTTTAAGATTAAGACCAGTATACGGACACACTTCGGCCACATTCAAAATCAAAAACCAGACCTGAACGGGCTGAAAATTGGGGGGTGGTTGAGAATAGTTCGGCGGTGGTACTGCTACATTTGCAGGAAACACAATCGCGTTGCTTGCAGGTGGAGGTACATTTACGGGCTGAGACGCCCGAGTTGAAACATCTTCTAAAAGTTTATTTTCAAACCCACTGTTGCTAACATCGACTCTACTTGTTTTATAAAGCAGCCCAGAGTGAAGAAAGTTGAAAGGATCCAACCCTGTACTGAATAACGGTTTTCTGACTTCATCTGCGACCCGACAGACATTGAAATGTTTTGGACCTGTTTGGGAATTTGATACGGTCCGCTCGGCGGAGAGTAAACGTCGGAACCATCGTAATACCTCGAAGGCAACTAAATCCCCAAGTAAATCTAACTGTTACAAAAATTTGAACTAATTTTTTTAATATTACGTTAAAACGCGAAGCTCTCGATAAAATGGTTAATAAAAGCGTAAAATAAACTTCAAAAGCTGCTCAAAGAACAACCTGTCTTTCTGCATTTCGAGGTGGTGCAGTAGACGACGGATATAACATGTTCCCCACAGAACGCGATTGCGAAGAGCTGACTTCCTCGCCCTCGTTTTTTGACTGAGCCGAACCCCCACCTGCGCGCCAACTGCCTGACTCTAAAAATCAAATATGCACCTTTTCCAGTTGCTATCTTTAACGGCAGAGAATCATGAAAAAGCCAATGAACATCTGAATACCAACTTTGAGGTTTCAGTGAGTCGTTTAACAACGCACTGCTTTGCTTGCCCGCCGAGGCAGTCGCTGCCGCAAGTGACGGGAAATCGCGGACAGAAGCAGTGACAGCAGTCGCATTCTGCGCGGCTGATGCGTTCATATCGAGGGAGCTTGCCGGTTTCGCCCATGTTGGCCTAAGATCAGTAGTATGTTGTCCAATATTCTGTGAACCTAAAGCACTAGTTCCACTTCCTGGGACACCACCACTTTGTTTTGAGATCTAAAATACAAAAATCACTAAAAACCATGAACAGCGCATAAAAAACAAATCAGTAAATAATGAAACAAAAATCTGACCCCCACAAACTTTTCGGAAAATAGAATGAAATCTTCAAATCAAGTACTATCCAAATATTTCAGCAAGCAAAAAAAACTTTCCTCTGAAATGAAAAAAAAACCCAGTAACGACATACGACTTATACGAACAAGATACTTACTGATGTCAAATCAGAAGAATTTGTATTTTCAACAGTAGCAGTTTTGTTCCATCCAGTACCGCCTAAATCTCATTGTTTTATTATCATTTTTATTATCATTTTGATATCGTAAAATGTAAAATGATGTTTCAAAAGACATTCTACAGCAGGATTACGTAAAACGATTACCAAAATAGAGCTAAAATTGTTAAAGAGAACCTTGCGGCACTAAAGCAACATTAGGATCTTGTCCTTGACTCTCAGCTCTTAAGGAAGGTAAAGTCGCAGGCGGTGGCATACGCCTAACCACAGCGGTTGTCTTTCCAAGACTTTGCAAGCCATGCTTGCCCAAGCCTGAAACAAATGATGTAAAAAACACGCCTAGAAGAAGCATCTTGACAAGTAGAAAAAAACCCTAACTTGTTATTAACTGCAACAAAATATTAATGAAAAAGTACCGGGCGCCTTAACGGCAGTGTGATTTTTGCCTGCGTAGATACTATTTACGTTGTGTAGCTTAGGCTTTGTGGCGCCCGCAGCGCCTCGAGAAGACATGCAGAACAGAATACCAATTCAAGGAAACGATAAAAAAGAGGCAAATCGGAAAGCGGAAGGGGAAGAATCGTGGCAGCGTTAAAGTTAAGCACCTTAATAACAGAATTGAAACTGGTTTTAATTGATACATCCCTACATAACTAAATGGCTTAACGGTATTGTCATACCATTCGGAGTCTTGCAGCTAAAAAA